TAAAACATAATGATTCTAGACATTTCAAAATAATTTATTAGTCTAACCAAATATTTACAGATTTAAGTTTACGACTTACTTTCACAAACTCCACTGACTGGATCACATGTAGAATTGTAACAATTTGAGGAGCAGTTGTGTGTACAGTTAAATCCATAGTGGCCTTGAGGACAATCTTTATTTTATATATTAAAATGTATTAGCTATTTTAGCAGTATGTAAATCTTAAGTAATTGATTATAGGTTGCAAATAGATATTTTTAAAATAAAAATAATAAGATGCTTTAAAATATAATGTTGTTTGATTCTTAAATAAATTAATATAACGAAACGGTAATATTTCTAAAAAAAAAGTGAAGGACAGCAACCATGACTATATATATATAGAGAGAGAGCAATGTATGTCTGTGTGTCTGTGTGTCTGTCTTTTATCTATTACTACACCTCTCATCACATCGACGTGAAACTTTGGGAAGTTGTTGAGAATATTTCTGGGGAGGTTTCGGCGAAATAAAATATTTCAAAATCGCAGGGGTGGCGCCCTATATATGGTATATAAAAATAAAAGTCGAATTTAATTTGACACCGTTCATCCGATAGGCATGAAACTTTGGGGAGTTTATTATAAAACTCTAGGAAAGTGTTTTATTAAAAATAATTTTTAATTTCGCAAGGGCGGCGCCACGGGAGGGTGCGATTTTCCTATATATACGGTATATAAAAATAATAAAAGTGAATTGCAGTGACACCGTTCATCCAATAGGCATGAAACTTTGGGGAGTTCATTATAAAACTCTAGGGAAGGGTTCTGTAAAAACATCATATTTAATTTCGCAAGGGCGGCGAAAGGAAGGGTACGATTTTTCTCAATATACGGTATATAAAAATAAAAGACGATTGCGGTTCGACGCAATTTATCCCGGTGCCATAAAACTTTAGGGAGTTGATGAATACTCCCGAGAAGGTTTCTGGGGTGGGGAGGGTGAATATGGTGGGTGTGTGGTGGGGCGGGGGGATTTAATTTTGCATGGGCGGCCCCCCGGCAGGATGCGATTTGGCGCCCTGATCTTTCCCGTATGCGCTATGGTGACTTCGTTCGGTCTAAACAATGGATAGGATGCGGCGTTACAAGCACTCACTAAATTGAATCAGGCGTGTCCTCTGGCGACCTGGTAGGGTGCGATTAGGCTGCAAATAAAATAGTTTGTTTCGGTCCCCAAAGGCTCACATGGGCCGCTGAGGCCCATGTAATACGTTTTATTTTAATAATAAGAATAATTAACCAAGATTAGATTATTAACTGGGATGTTTCTTTTTGTCCGTAAAAAAATCCAAACAGTTTCCCCACTTTGCGAATGATGCATTTAGCATCTATTTTTAGATAATCCAATCAGAAATTGAAATCGAGCATTTAAGAATAGACCATTAGTTACGTTACGTTACGTTTGCTGTCGTCCCTACTGGGACATAGGCCGCTGATAAGAGCTTTCCAGACGCAGACCATTAGTAACGCTAACATATTGCATCAGTCACACTGATGTTTAAAACACGTCAAATAATATTTTACGTGTTAAATAACAAATCCTGTTCATTTGTGTCATTTTAGTAAATGACGCAATCTGCATCATTGCTAACAGGATGCTATTTGGCGCGATGGCGCCTGTTAGTTTTAAGGAGTCAGGGGTGGTACGCCGCGCCTATGTGCCTTGAGCGACCCTTTACGTCCCTGACACATGGGCGGTCACCGAAGTTTGTTCGTTCTACCTCATTATTTCGGTGAGTGATTAATGTACACTTAAGGTTTTCATGCGGTAGTGTAGGTAAACCCGTGTCCTGGTATTTATGATTCAAGCGTAGGCATTGTTTACATTTAAATAACTCACTTTTAGAAAACAAGGTCACGCGTCTAAAAATATAGGATTGGTAACGCATGGATGAAACCCTTCTTATATATTTCGTCGGACTTTCTTCTATTCCCTCGGCAACGCGCGCGGGGGGGGGGGGGGGGGGCGGGTACGCTAGTTTACTATAAACTGTTCTAGTACCTTGCATAAGTAATTGATTTTGCACTTTTAGGAAAATAGTATACGCGTAAACCTCAAAGACTTCAACGTGTCAATGCAATATAAAAAATTTCATCTTTCACCCATCACAAGACTTACACTGGTCACAGTAATCTCCTTGATATCCTGGTGAACAGCTCAAACAAACCCCATTGCTTTGGTGACACAGAGAGTCTGCGCAGTTTTCAGAACAAAGTTCAACGCACACGAATCCATATCGGCCTGGGCTACATGCTAACAATTAAGTAAGTTAAATTTCTATACATTACCAACATGTTATAATAAATAGCCTACAATTAATAAAAGCATATTTGCATATAAGTTGTTTATTAATTATTTATGTGAAAAAACAAACGAAAAGCTACACCAGGCAACGCACTTTACATTTTTTACAAAACGAACTTGATACTGTCTTTTTAAGCAGATAGGGGCCTACATAGATATTATTTCATGCCGTAGTAGAAACAGCTTACTTTGATTACAATAATATCCCATGTAGCCAGGCCTACATTCCTGACATCGCCCATTAATAGCATTGCATTGGGAAGCTAAACACATCTCAGGGCAGTTTTGTGAACACTTCTCACCAAATGTACCATGACTGCAGGCTGTTATACGTAAAAAATAAAAACAATTATATAATTAAAATGACTAAAATAGAGTCTGCATTTGGTTTTGTATAAACCTTTATTTAGTTGGCGCAGCAACATATTTTAATTAAATGTCATTTAGCCTGTGCCAGCAACAATAGAAGTCCATAGCTGATTATCATGTTATTTAGCTTTAACAATGTTTAAAGCTTTAGCGGCATATATTGTGACGCAACGTAAAGTTTGCTCTCCGTCTGATTTAATTTTGTTCGACAACAAACTGGAGGTTGTGGCTACTTTCTGAAACTTTAAAAGACGTCAGTCCATCTACAATATCTCTTTTCGAAAAAAATCTTTTTCGTGACATTTTAGGCCTCCCCTGTTTTCAGTCTATGTAAAGTTTACTCCAGATCATGCTTAGATGTTTAGTTGTAGGTGTGTTCTAGCCAACAACACTTCCCGTGCCCTTTCCAGTCACACCACTTTATATTCGATTCTCAACTGGTCGGCATATCTTGAAGATATATATTTTTCATTTTGTCTTTCCAGTAAATTTTGCAGATGTGACTTAGTGATTTGAATTGTTATCGCATAATTTAGGTGTTAGATTTTCAGGTAATATAATAAAAAGTGAATAAAAAAGTGAATAAAAATTGGAATAAAAATAATCGTTAATGTTTAATACTGGTCTTTATTATCTAACGTCTACCTCATTATGGTCCTGGTCCTTTTTTTCCCTTTAAAATCAAAATTGTTTTATTGTAAAGTGCTTTCATTACAGCGCATCCAAATAAATGTAATCTGCGTGTACTGCTGACCCAGTATCACTAGAGATTTTATTGAGTTTGTAAACGAAAATATAAGTCATACTGACTTTTATTCGTTAGGCTATTTGGCCTATGGTTTCCATTACAATATATTTTTTTTCAAATGATTAATTAATAAATTGATGTTTTAAAAAATAAAAAATAAAATAAATAAAAATAGGTGCAATAACTTGTAATATGTGTACTTTCTAGGAACCAGAATCAACGTGACAAGTAGCGACTGAAACTCGACTGTTAAGTAGCCCAAGGCTGTGCCTTCAGCAACTCAAACAGTAGGAAATATGTTCACATGATACAAAGCCCAACGGAAGGGATGGTCAACCCATTTTCTTTTATAGAATGTTACATAGGATGGTAGGAGTGTTAGAGAGTAAAGCAATCATTATACTTTCTGTCTCATTTGGCTTGTACAATAACATTTTCTTAATTGAATTGCTGTTTGATTTAATCTATTTAACTTTTAAACAGGCATCGTAAAAAAGGAATTGGTGTCACCCCCCCCCCCCCCCGCTTCATTTCAAATGTTGCAAATTGGGAGTCGTCCATAGATGCCGCTACATTCCTATTAGGAAAGGAGTGGGTATGGGTCGATATTTTGTTACAATGTATTATGACGTTTTATATTTTCTTGGTCCTTAGTTAAAATTCGTTGTTACCTATTATGCTACTTATCTGTTTAAAGTTGCAGTATATTGTTTCCTAATTTGTGTTTTAATGGGAGGGCTCCACGTTGGCTATTAAGTGTGTTCTGTATTCTCAGTAGTTCTGCCAAATGTTTCTTATCTATGTTTACTCTTGCCTGGCAAATTTGATTGATTATTCCCGTACAATGTGCTTAAAATCTTTCATGTAATCCAGTTAATGTGTATTTATTGCTCTACTGATGAATTCTGCCGCTAGCTTCCTTATTTCTGTGACGCATTAGCTGTTTTTCTAGAATTCTGTTCTTAAGCTTCCAAAATGTATACTTTGTTCTTTGTGAGTGATTTGTGGTAGAGCGTAACGTATTTTGTGGTCTGAGTGCCAGAGCAAATTGTTTTACTTTCTTTACCGTTTTTCTTTCGTGAATGTATTTTCTGTCTAGAACAGCGTCGCTATTGTATGTTTAGCTGTAGTGTATTAAGTTGTTTATTGAAACTTCTTGTGTGCATTTTTTAAGATTGTTGTTTTAAGTTTTTTAAGTGTATTATATAACTTGTTTTGGCCTTTTCATTTTCCTGTCAACTTGTCCAGTCATGTATTTCCCCTTATTTGTATTCGATGCTTAGAAGTTTATGACAGATGGCAGCTTGGGGAAAGTAGTAGGAACTTTACATATAAAATTCAAGAGGATAAAACATAGCCTAAACTGAGGTAGATAGATGGAGACAGATTTATGGCAGTCTGGAATACAATCGTGAAAAATAACAGCAGAAAAGTCTGAGTTGAAAAATTAGTAAAGCCAACAAAAGTTCTCCACGTGCAGCTGAGTCCATGAATTGCTTACCTATAGAGCATAATAGCAGCTGAAAAAATAATACCTTTAACACAAAATGGTCCAAGAAGTCCAACATTGCACTTGATACAGTGACCACTGAAGGGATCACATACTTGTTGATCACATTTCTCTGAGCAGTGTCGAGAACAATTTTGTCCATACAATCCACTGGAACAAACTGCCGTCACAAAATAAATAATGTATTCAGACTTTGACGTAATATGTTTAAGTGATTAAATAATTTTTTAAAATTAAATCAAGTTAATTTACTGATTAAAAAATCATGCGTTATATAAATGTTAAAAAAATCAAAGGAAAACAATTTTTTAAAGATTATCACATCTTTATCACATGTGTCTCCCATGTAGCCAATGCTACAACCATGACATAACCCATTGATTGGATCACATTCATTGTTTCTACAGTTAGCTGGGCATGACAGTGAACATTTGTATCCAAACCGACATTTGTCACATGCTGTTGACAGATATTACATATAAACCTGCGTGATTTCTGAAGTAGAATTATGATTAGAAACATGCTAGAAATCTGGTTCACAATTGTAAAATTCCATTTAAAATATTGCACAGTTAAAGTGTACAACTCTCATAGTACTTGGAATCGCGTATGTTTTCATAAGGTCCTGGGCACACTCTTGTGAAAAAGAAAAGTATTGTGTCTGGGACACAGAAGAATGTGAATACATAAATAAATTGTATAACAAATCCATTTTATGGAGGGATGAGCAATTCATTTTTATGTTTAACTGCAATCTTGTAAAATATATTTTAACACTCAGAATCCTTTATTAAACTAACGGGCTGATAAATATTATAAATGGTGTAAAAAGGGCATATTAACTTTTAGATAACGGCTTTTAAGTCACCATTTTGTTTTGCAAACACATCTTTAATATTTGATTTTTCAACAAACCCTCTTCACAGAAGTGTCCCTTGAATCCAATAACACAACTGACACAAGCTCCACTGACTGGATTACATATAGAGTTGAAGCATTTAGATGAGCAGTTTTTCTTACAATTGTATCCAAAGAGGCCTTGTTGACATTCTTTGAGATTTTTTTAAAAATTTAAAAACATTATTTTTAGAATATATAAATGTTAAGCAATGGATAATATGTTGTCAAGACATGTTTTAAATTATTAATATTAAGTGATTCAACAGATTGTTGAGATTTCTTGTGACTAATAAATGATAATACAAAAACAATAATACCTTTGTCACAAAAATGTCCTAAATATCCATCTTTGCATCTGATACATTGACCACTTGCAGGATCACATGAGTTGTGGTCGCAGTTTTTAGAACATTGCATGGAACAGTTTTCTCCATAATATCCACGGGAACAAACTACCAAAAATATGGAATAAAAAATACTCAACTTAAACATTTAGTTTCTATGTAGCCAAAATGTAAAATAAAAAACATATTTAAAAAAAATTGTAAATCAACTAATAAAAACAAAAATGTGTGTTTTTATATTAACATAGCACCTTTGTCACATCTGTCTCCAAAATAACCTTCTTTACAGTTCTTACATAACCCATTGATTGGATCACATTGCTTGTTTCTACAGTTGTCTGGGCATCGCAGTGAACAGTTGTATCCAAACCATCCGTTGTCACATGCTGTTGGCAGAATTTGAGGAGTTGTCGTATCTTATTTTTTTAAATATATTTCTCTGCTTTAAAACGTATGGTTTAAATTTATTATATAAGCTAAATAAAGCAAGCTTACTTTTATTGCAGAAATCTCCTTTAGAACCTGGAACACAACTGTAGCAGTATCCATTTTGCTCATTACACAGTGAAAGTGCACAATTCTCAGAGCATTTGAAATCACAGTTGTCTCCATAAGATCCTGGACTGCATTCTTGTTACAAAAAGTTTATATTTGTTGTTTTTCTTCTGTGATTATGTTTGCGTTTATGTTTATGTTAAAGTATGTTTAGGTTTGTGTATATGCAATCGTTTATGTTCACATTTATGTTTGCGTCTGTGTTTATATTAATATTTTCTTAAACGTCCTTATCTATATTTAGGTTTTAACTGAAAAATTGTATAAATTCCGCATAACCATAAGGGAGCACGGGATTTGCTGCCTAATGAGCATAGAAGTCAAGGTCATAGACTGATAAGTTTATCTTAAATTCCAGCTCAGGACCTGGCAGATACGGATAGCTTATGCTGTAAAAATAAAGTGAACTTTGTATCAGGGGCGTAGCGAGGAGGGGGCGGGGGGTGCGGACCGCACCGGGTGACACCATTTAGGGGGGTGACACCAAGGCAAAAAATAGCAAAATATATAGAGAATAAATTGAGGGGGGTGCAAATCGAAAGTTTGAGTGGGGGGAGGGGGTGCAAATCGAAAACTTGAGGGAGAGGGGTGCAAATCAAAAACGTGAGGGGGGGGGGGGGGTGCAAATCGAAAGTTTGAAAGTTTGTCCCCGAGAAGGGTCGCTACGCATCTGGGTGGGTGACACCATTAAGTGCCGCACTGGGTGACACCCGACCTCGCTACGCCACTGCTTTGTATGTAATGTTTTTGGCGGACTGGCAGAATCATTGTCAACACGCATATAGTAAAAGAAAAAGTCCACTCTATCACCTTTGTGACATTTTAAAAAGGCTTAAATTATTATACATAAACTAAATTTTAATTTTTTTTTTAAATTCAATTTTTTTTAAACTTAGGTCATTTGGATATTATTTACCCTTGATCATAAAAGATAACTCAAAAATTCTAAAACATATCAGACTAAAATGTAAAAAAAATCAATTAGTTTAATTTTATTTGGAAAGAAATAATAGAACTTGCGTGGAAATTGTAAGTACTGTTTACTAATTATTTCCTTAATAAATAAAAATCTAGAAGTTGTCCTAAATGTCGTCCTAGGGATGGAGCATTTTGAGACGGGTGAACATAAACGTTATGTGTGAACTGGGGGTGGGGGAAAAGCTTCTCGAAGAAAAATTACTTCACTATTCTAAACGTGTTTTTAACACATTTCTTTTAATACTTTTAAAGTTGGGTTATATTTTATCATGAAAGTCGAAAATCAAAGATATTTATTGACGCTCAGCCCACATAACCATAATTAGGGCAGAGTCGTAGAGAAGGGTGGGCGGGTGGGTACACATGTCCCTGGGCGCCCACCTTTAAAATTAAAAGCTCATTTTAGCTGCAGTTTTGAATTATAAACATAAAAATATATATGGGGGGGGGGGGGGAGGCGCCCTATGGAAAGTTCGTCCCCGGACGCCGGGAGGGGTCGCTACGCCTCTGAATTATGGAACGGGGATAGTTGGCTTGACAGATGCATGTTTTTATCGAAAATTCACTCAGAATCACTATGCACTGAAACTACATTTTATAAGTATAGTACTTTGGTAATTAAATTAGCTTACATTTCTTTGCCTGCTTCTTCTCGTTTGAAATCATTTAATTTTAACATAATCTTATCATCTTCATTTTATAAATGACTAGCTGTTATCGACTAGGCTTTGCTCCAAACATTATAGCCATTATTTACTTTAAATTTTAATACAGACTTGATGGTTTGTTTACAAAATGTTTTAAGTAAAAATAAACAACATTGCATAAAGCTATACTCAAAAAACTGCAATACGTACACATTGACGGGATTCTAAAAATTATCTTACACAGTACCTGCCATCCCGTAATAACAAAGATCGTTAAACAAATTAAATAATTCTCAGAGTCAAAAAATTAAACAGAAAAAACGCTAGTTACATGCTTTCCCTCTCAAGGTTATTCGCCCCTAGATCATTAATTTCCTCACCACCCTGGGTAATAACCCCACTACTGAAAATATATTAGCCATCTGCCAATCCCAAGCCTTGTTCCTAAACAAATAATTAGTTAGCTCTCCAGTCCCTTCTTCTTATCACATACTATCTAATATATTACCATTACCTGTATCATTACTAGTATCATTATGGTTACGGTAGCTATTACAGTTACGTTTACTTTTACTCTGACCGTTAATGGTACTGTTACCGATGGGATCCCGTTGCCTTAACCGATGGGTAATTATCATGTGGTAGGAAATGTTCATTTCCAGTTTCTGAGTCGGGATAAAGTCCTTGAAAGTGAGGTAATTTACAGGGGGTAATTGGTCAGGATGTAATTTGACGTAAGTGAAATAACCGAGTGAGTGCGTGTGGGGGTGAGGGGGGGGGGGGGGGGGTTGACGAAGGACAGTAAGGTAATGATTCCATTTTTACCATCTACTATCACAACAAACTACAGCATAGTTATTTTTTTTTATATTTTTGGTAGCAGGAGTTTATAAAACATTTTTCTTACTGTCTTGACAGTAGTCTCCCTTATATCCTGGTTTACAACTGTGACAAACTCCATTTGTAGCATTACAAGTTGAATAAGTACATGTGTCCGGACAGTGTTTAATACATTTATATCCATATTTTCTTCTTGGACATTCTAAAAGTACGATGAAATAAACTTATTTCAATCTACCAGATTAGTACATGCTACGCACAAAGGTTTCAAAATATAAGCGGCAAAAAACACCTTAATCTTAACATTAGTAAAGATTTCTAATCAGAATAATTCATAATAGCTATCTGCAGTATATTCACAAATTAATTTTTAGATATTTGAAATACTTTTAAGCTGCATAGTTTTTAAGTCCCATTTAAGATACAACTAGCAGTGTTGAAAAAATATAAGTTAACTGTTAAATTTTATAATGTATACAGACTAGCACATTTCTATGTGTGTAATTTTAAATATTTTAAAATTCGGGCCTCTATTTGAGTATATTTAAATTTTTTCCTACCTCTATTACAATTGTTTCCAAACCATCCATTTTTACAGCTGTCACATTTGCCACTGACATGATGACATTTACCCCCCTTACAACTTTTTGAACATGATTGTGAACAATTAGTCCCGTAAAACCCAGTGGAACACTCTGAAAATAAAACAAAACAAATTAGTATGAATTTATTTTAAAATATCATTATGTACAAAAATATTCTTATCTTTAAAAAATAAAGTGATTATAAACATTAGGCTATTATTGTCGTAGTGTCTTTAAAAACATTAAATCGTGGAAATAAATTAAGCCTACAAGAAAAGTGTGCTAGTGAACTAGTGTTGCTTTTATTATGTAAGTAACAAACTATAGTGATACAATTATTTTTTAACTTACTTTCATGACAGTAGTCACCTTTGTAACCAGGCACACAGCTATGACAAATTCCACTTACAGCTTCACAAGTTGCATTAGTACAGGTCTTTGAACAGTTTCTCATACAATTACAACCAAATTTACCTTTTGAGCATGCTGAAAACAATTTAAAGCTTTTGAGAGCTGCATTAATTGTCTTTTAAAATAACACATTCATCACTTCTAACAAGGATGTATCACCAGTCTTAGATAATGTAAAATTTAACCAAAACGCCAAAGTACTTGTGTTGCAAAATGCTCCTTTCCAACCATCTCTACATGAAGAACAATGGCCACTGAATGGATCACAAGATGCGTCAGCACAATTTTTGGAACAGGATAGTGAACAGTTTTCCCCATATTGGCCTTGTAAACATACTTGAAATAAAGATATAATCAATATTAATTAGTAGTCAATGGTTATATGTATACCATTTCCTACTAACAGAACAATGGCCACTGAATGGATCACAAGATGCGTCAGCACAATTTTTGGAACAGGATAGTGAACAGTTTTCCCCATATTGGCCTTGTAAACATACTTGAAATAAAGATATAATCAATATTAATTAGTAGTCAATGGTTATATGTATACCATTTCCTACTAACAGAACAATGGCCACTGAATGGATCACAAAATGCGTCAGCACAATTTTTGGAACAGGATAGTGAACAGTTTTTTCCATATTGGCCTTGTAAACATACTTGAAATAAAGATATAATCAATATTAATTAGTAGTCAATGGTTATATGTATACCATTTCCTACTAACAGAAGTAAGATTTTTTTTTAAATCCTTAGTCGTAGCATTTTTATATAATTATCCATAAATATGGGTCTATTTTAGTATTTAAATTAAAATTTTGTTATCTGCTTACTATAAATAAGATTCAGCTTGTAACACTTTTTTTCCTCTAACTTGGAGTATAACACTATATACCATATTGTTAGCTAAAGACTTTATTATTCGCCCATATAGTACAGCCCCAACAACCCGTTTTCCATCCAGACTCAGTTGTTACGTCCGGGTTCGATTCAACTCAACAACGATACGTGACACATATAGTATAGTTTTTTTAAACTCAATTCTTCACATAACAGAGTAGGCCCTCGCCCTAACCGCTACCAACTAGCTTTGACAACCATTTATTCAAACTTTTATACCGCATTCGACCTTGAGATAACAATACATAAACACACCGGGGTTAACAATACTCCAGGGTAAACTCAACTCACACACGCACTCTCCCCTAATTCTAGATTATTCTAAGCTATTTCTATCTATCCTACAACTGACCCGTAACAACTACCCCCCCACCCAAGTATTTGCAGTACATACTACAAATACAGACTAAATCCCCAAATCTTAAGTTAACCTAGGGGGTGAAAAACAAACAAAAAACAGTACAACAAAAAAGTGGTGTGACAAGTATACTACACCAAGAAAAGAGTAAATAAATAATACATGTATAAATCCATTTGTACATAATTCCAAGACAACAATCGAAAAAAGAAAGAAAAATCAATTCTGTGGTTTAAATTACAATTTACATCTCAGACTCCCGATCTAAAATTGCTTGACAAAAAGTTAGCCAGAAGATTATCCCTCCCAGGAAAGTGTTCTATAGTAAATTTATATTCCTGTAGCAGTAAGGACCAGCGTGTCAGTCTGGCATTATTGAACCTACAGTTATTAAGGTATTTCAGGGCACGCTGGTCCGTCTGCAGTACGAAGGTAGCCTGTGGCCCAGACAATTGCCAGGCACTCTCTTTCTATAGTAGAGTACCAAGTCTCTCTCGGTTGGAGTTTTGAGGTCAAGTGTTTCTGGACCAGTCAGCACGGTTACATTCATCTGACCACACGACCTTTTCAGGTTTACCCTTTGCTAGCAAATATGTCAGTATTGCGTTGGCCTTGCTGAATTCTAGTATAAATTTAGCATAATACCCTATAAGGCCCACTAATAATCTTACCACTTTCTTTGTGGTGGGTATTGCTACGTTTAAAATGTTGTTTACCTTGTTTTTTTTCTGGTGTCTATAGCCCCCTCCCCACTACATGCCCTAGGAAATTAATTTTTTTCAAAACCTAGCTCTAATTTGGCAGGCCTTACTGTCAGGCCCGCGTCTTTCAATCTATTGAACACCGCCTTTATTGCCATAAGGTGTTCTTCCCATGTCTCGCTGTAAAAAATGACACCACATTTTCCAAGTCTTTTAATACGACTCGCATCAATCTGGCAAATATGGAGGGTGCCGTGCATAGGCCAAAGGGCAGTTAATTAAACTGTCATTTTGCATGGGGATCTGCCAATGCCCTTTTGTGAGGTCGAGCTTGGTAAATTATTTTGCCCTATTTAGTTTGGAGAACAGCTCATCTGTATCTGGAATGGGTTCCGCGTCGTAGACTGCGTTAAGTCTCTTATAGTCTACACAGAACCTTGTCGACCCATCTTTTTTCTTAACTAGTACTACAGGTGCGCTGAAGTCGGAGTCGACCTCTCTATTATTCCCAGTCTCTCCATTTCATCCATTTCTTTCTTCATAAGCTCTCTTCAGGCGTATGGTATGCAGTAGGGCTTCGTTCTTATCGCTCTGGTATTGGTCAGTTTTATTTTATGTTGTAGTAAATTTGTTTTTCGTGGTAAGTTGCTAATAACAGCTGTGTACTCTTGGATAATTCTGTTTAGATCCGTCCGCTGTGTCTTTGTCAGGGTGTCTCCTATTTTGATATCACTTAACTTAGTTTATTCCAGTATGTCCGGTGTTTTTATTGTGTCCAATGGGATACCCGGTTCGAAGTCCTCCTTGTTATAACTGGGTTCTACATGTATACCACAGTTATGCAGTGAGAGGGTAGAACTACTTGATCCAATATTATATTCCGATACCACAACCAATTATATTATGTCTAGCCATACAATAGTGCATCTTGAGACACGACGACATCAACGGTTACAAATGATTTGACAGAATGACATTGTTTACTAGTTCTATTTATTGCACTATAAGAAATAGACATCGGACGACTTGAACAAACGATACTAAGACTGGACAACCTAACCTTAACGTAACATAAACAAGACTAATTCAAACTTTTTCCCCGGCAACAACGAACTCACATTAAAACGTCACTTTCTTGCGTACCGCGTCACACTTTCACTCGTTCAATATTATAGCTTCGCACCAGCATTCATGCGCACCAATTTGTCTAGTCAAACATACATCATAACACTCCTCATCTGTTAGTGATTCTTGATTTTTTTCTTCTGCCTCCACCACTCCTGACACTGCCGCTAACATCGGCTGATCCTTGCTGTCGTCTGTTTTTGTCTGTGATGGTACAGCATCATCCGATTTACGTGAACCACCTTAGTACTGTCTTAATAACATAGTCCAAGTCTCCGATTTCTTTTATGACCTCGTTAACTCCCGCCCACCTTAGCTCTAGTTTGTTCAATAGTTGGGGCTTCAATATCAGCACATGATCCCCCACTTTGATATCTTTGGTTGTGGCTGATCTATCATAGTAGTTCTTTGCTTTATCTTTCCCACCTTCTGATTTGCTGGGTGCGTACGTGCATGTCGTTTGCAACTGCTGTTTAACGTCCAGCAGGTAGTCTTAAGCAGCTCCTGTTTTATATTCCCTCGCTTCTCTTGTGAGGATATCCGTTAGGATGCTCATCGGGCCCCTCACTTTTCTGTCAAACATAAGTTCAAATAGCGGGTAACCAGTGCTTTCATTCGGTACTTCTCTGTAGGCGAAAAGTGCTGCTGGGATGAACACGTCCCAATCGTCATCCTTGTCTATAGCTACTTTCTTTAGCATTTCCTTCAACGTTCCATTCAATCGTTCTACCCCTCCATTGGCCATGGCGTGATATGCAGACGCGTGAATTATTTTAATCCCCAACATTTTAGACACGGTGCAGAAAATTTCCGACGTGAACTGGGCCCCGGTATCTGAGAGTATGACTTCGTGAAGACGGAGAGTAGCACATCTTGAATCTCTGCTGTCGTTACACTTTTTAGCGGTATGGCTTCTGGCCACCGTGTACATATGTCTACGACTGTGAGTATGAATCTGTTCTTTTTTCGTTTGAGTTAGGGGTCCTACAAAATCTATGGCGAGTTTCTCAAAGGGTTGTCCCACTACCTCAGTTCTACCCAGAGGCGCCTTGCCACCAACATTCTTTTTGCTTTTCTGGCAGACATCACAACATTCGCAGTAACGCTTGATATCCTCCCCTGCCCCTGGCCAGCTAAATTGTGACACAATCCTGGCTTTCGTTCTCGCTACTCCCATGTGCCCCGTCATAGGCGTGTCGTGTCCTAGTTGTATGATGGTGGTCCTGAGTCTCCATGGGATTGCTAGCCTAGTCTGATCTTCCTTTTCGCTGTGTTTTATGATCTTATATAATAACCCATCTATCATTTTACAATGTTTGCCTTTTCCGCGAGCTTCCACCAATCTAGCTAGTGTTTTGTCCCCCTCTGCTGCTTATTTCTCTGGTTGCAATCCGCCCTAAGTTGCCCTCTGGTTTCTACCGCCGCTAAAGTTAGCAAATCTTTCCTCGGTAGTTTTGCCCCTCCTACATTCCCTATTATAAGTTCCGCTGGTGGGTTATCTAAAAGGACGGCAAAGAACTCTCCCGTAATATATGATGTTTCTATGTTGACTACAGCTCCTGGTACTCTTTTCTTATCTCCATCCGCCGTCTTTATGGTTATCCATTCTCTTGTCCATCTATTTCTTGTGGCTAGAGCTCTCCGATACGCTTGACTACGGAGCCCATATGCCGTACGACGGTAACCGTCCTCCCATTCAGTTTTCGTGAAACTATAGGGAGTGACCCTCTGTCGTTTATGAATCTTTGGTTAGCTCCTATGTTCCCTACAGGGACAGCGCCCTTTACTTGGCTTAGTCGCCGCATTCCCCGCTAAATTCTGGGACTAGTCATCTGTCCCGATTGTCCTTGAAGCCTACCTTTCTCCCTCTCTACTCATGTCCCATTTGTCTACGATTAGACCGGCACCCTGCCGCTTTGTGTCCCTCACCCCCACAGTTGAAACATTTTATCTGGCGTCGTCTGGGACTATTACTGCCACTCGGCCTAGGTTGAACCGGGCTCTGTCTTCTTCGCTCCTGTTGAAGGGTGACTTCATTTCTTGTGCACCATACCCCTCTAATGGGGCTCTTAGATCTAGGTCTTAGGGTTCGTTTGTTCATGTCCTCTATAACGAGATTCCTTGATCCTGATGTAAGTGCCATGGGGGCAATAAATGTTTCCTATGACATGTCAATCGGTTTTAATTTTCTATCTGGGTAGATGTCAAAATAGTTGTCATTAGCATTTTCTTAGTCTGTTATTGTCCTCGGGTTTTGCCTGAGGACGTGCTGTCTTACGTCTTGTCCGACTGTTCTCATTATTTTATCTTTTAAGAGTAGGTCAAACAGTCCGTCAAATGTTTTGTCACACTTGCTAGCTTCGACCCATCTTCTCAAGTAGTTTCGCACCCTCCTAATGTAACTCCCAACTCTATCTTGTTCTGATGGTTGGGCGCTATTAAACTTATCACTGTATCCTTGCTCCGTCAGACCAAAGTGTTTTAGGACCCCACTTTTCAGTTTCCCATAATTCTCTTCTGCTCCCAATTCTGTTAACCACGATTCGCAGCCTCTATT